CCTCCGGGCGGCCAGGCGGAGCTGCGCGAGGCGGCGCACACGGCGTCTTGGCGGGGAGAGGAGACGGGCCGCGGAAGAAACAGGAGGGGGAGGGAGGAAAAAAGGAGGGGGGGGGAAAAACAAAGTTTCAGAAAGTCGTCTTGCCGTTCGGGGTTGGGGACTGCGATTCGGGTGGCCAGAAATGAAATCGGGGGTAACCCGTTTTCCATAGAAAGTAAAAATCCATGTTCCTTCCTGCGGCGGCTTCAGGCTCCCGGGGACCCGGCTCGGCAAGTGGCCGGTGGAGCGCTGCGCCCCAGCCCAGACTGGCTCGGCGGCTTACGGGTCCTCCCGAAACTGGGGAAGGCCCCTCAGCCGCTCCCGGGCTGCATAAATACAAAACCTCCCAAGTGGGATTGATTCCTGGGCGTCACATGCTCCGGGGTTTCAAACCGTGAAACCTTTCCATGAGCAGTTCGAAATGTCTCCCTAAACACTGTGTCACTATCTGATCCGGAAAGTTTAATATTTAACCTTTTTGGCCCCTGGCCTGCCTTTTTTGAGTCTGCTTTCCCTAAGCTCGCCCTGAGCCGCCCATTAGTGTTTTGTTTTGTTTTGTTTTTTTCGGGAGAAAGGGTGCAAAGACGGTTTATTATTTTTTAAAGAGACTCCGTGCCTCCTCCCGCCGCCCCCCTCGGGCCGCTGTGAGTCGCAGTCTGAGTCCGAGGACCCGAGACGTGGCATTCTCGCCCGAAGACTGGAAAGAATCCTTCAAAACAAGCTTTGGTTTCATTTTCCAACGCCTTGGCCTGGGAATCCTGCGGCCCGAGGACGTGGCCTGACGCGGGGGATTTGGGGGGAGGGGGGCGGTCGCTCCAGGGTCTTGCTCCTACCCTAGCTTCCCCCCCAACCCAAAAATAACCTACAAAGAAAACCTTCGCAGCGCGGGCCGACCAAGGGGCGCCTCCCCCAGCGTTGGGCAAATCCCCCTGTAGTTCCAGTTTAAAGCTGTTTGTTTAAAAGATTTGTCGTTTGCCGATTCCCATGGGGGCGGGAGGGGGTCTTGGAGCCAACCCTGCCCTCGCTCTCCGTCTGCCCGCAGCAGCTCGGATTCCTGATTCCGGGAGGCCCGGGCGCTCCTAGAGCCGCCGATCCACGCCAAAGCCACCGGCTCCAGGTGCCCGCCCTGCGCCCCACGACCGGTGCCCAGCCCCCCGAGCTGCAGACCCCCTCAGCCGCAAACCCCCCGGCCTCCTTCTCCAGCCTCCCTCCCCAACTTTGCTAAGGGTGCTTATTTTAACCTGGTTTTGGTTACAAACACCCCCTTCCCTCCCTCCCTCGCTCACTCCCATCAGGCTCTGGTTACCAGATCCGCGTTTACTTTGGAAAAATCTAAGATCGCCACATTCGAGGATACATGTCTTAAGGAGGCGATGAGCTTTCCGTGATTTTTTTTTTTTTAATGTTCTTTGTGTAGCTTTCTTTTAAAAGCTAGAGCTTCGGAGCATGCCCCGACGCCCCACTTTGGGGAAGTCGGGGTGAAGGCCCCCGGAACACCCTCGCTCTGGTAGAGAAGCTGGCTCGGCCATCTGCGGGCTCCGCTGCGTTCTCTCTACTTTTCTCCCCCTCTTAAATGCAGTTAAAATGGCTGAATTCCGGCTTTTAATTAAAAACAGCCTATAATCGAAAACGTCTCGGCGTCCCTGGCTCCCCCGCCGCCTGCCGGGAACCGAGAAGGGAACCGACGCCCCTCAGCCCGGCTGGGCGGGCTGGAGCTGGGCTGAGGGCTCAGGTGGGCGCCCGAAGCACCGTGGCCCGCCCCCACCCTTCCCAGGGCGCCCCCATCTCGCCGACGCCGGTCCCCGATCCAGCTCTTGGGGGCCGGAGAGCTGCGGGGATCCCCCCGCGCACCCCGAAGGGGAGGGGGTGGGGGGTCAGCTGGAGAAGTTTGGAGACCGTCGCGCCCGGCCAGGGACGGACCGGCGGCCTGGCGGCGTACCTGGCGCGGCGGGGCTCCCGGCTCCGGGCTCCGGTGACGGCGACTCCGGTGGTGGCCCCGGCTCCCGGCGCGGCTAGGCGCCCGTGCTGCCCGCCATCCCGCCGCTGCTGCTCCCCTTCGCCACCCGCAGCCGCCTCACACTTTTTGCCCGCCTTTCCTTTTTTTGGTAGAAAACCGCTCCCCGGGCCGAGCGCTCGGCGCGCCAACTCCTCCGCCCTCCCGCGGCCCGGCTCCCGCAGCCCCCGGAAAAGCCAGCTTTCCTCCCGCCGAGCTCCCCGCTTTTTAATAAAATCCAGGTAGCGCCGGTTTAAAGAATCCCAAATCTCCATATACAGCCCGGGATTGGAAAAGGTACATTACACAACCCCCCTTTCAAGTTCCTCTCGCTGGATCTAAAAAAAAAAAAAAAAGCCAGCGGGAGGGGGGAGGGGGCGGCTGGGGGAGGGGAGTACTCTCCAGCGAAGAAACACGCATTGTTCCCGGGCGCCCGCCTCCCCCCCCAGGCCGGCCCCCGGCCTCCATCCATTGGCCGCGCGCACCGCCAATCACGCGCATGTAAACACCTTGGCCCTCAGCCATTCCTATAAAACCAATTACGGATCGAGGGGCTCCAGCAGTTTCCAGGCTCCCCACGGCGGGGCTGAATGATCAAAACTGGTGGTGAGAATTTTTCCCGGCCGTTTCTAGGCAGCCCTCCCCCTCCACCAGCTCGGACCCCCCTCTTTCCTCCCTCTCCTCCCTCTTCCTACCCCCTCCCCCGGCGTCTAGGCTGAGTGATCAAAATAGAGGAAGATGGTTGTCGCCGCAATCCAGGGCTTTGCAAGGCGCGGTTTAATGGGCCGCCTGTCAGCTTCCTGCTCGCAGGAGGAGGTGACAAGCCGAGCGAGCCGGGAAGGGCCTGGGGCCCGGCGGGCTGCACCCCGGGCCCGGGCCCCCTACCTTTTCTGGGGCGCGCCTTCTAGAACGCGCGCTGGAGACGCCAAAACAGACAAGGGCTGCTTTTTCCCTTTTTAACTCCCTCTTTTAAAACAAAGCAGCGATTCATTCCTTTTCCCCCAGCAGCGCGGTTGGGTGGGATGGGCAGGCGTGAAGGCCCTTTTCCTAGCCTCGGCCTGCGGGTCCCTCCCTGAAACGCGGTGTCAGATGGTTACTGATTAATATTTTGGAGAGGCAGCGGCGGCGGGTAGCGGGTGAGTCTCTAATCTTCTAAAAGGGGTTCCTATAGAAACGCGGGCCGGGGCGCGCCCCTCGCTCGGCCCCGGCCGGGGCTGTGGCGCTTTGCACCGCGCGCCCTTCCCCAAAGCCTTTCTTTGCGTGGGCGCTCCCCTCCTCTTGCCCCCCCCCAAAAAAAATCAGAGCAGAAAAAAGGATTAGATCGGCTGAGCGCGAACTGACTCCCTCTCGACTCTGACATTTCAGCCTATTAGCATTTCTCCACGGGGCCTTCTGAAACCTATTAAAGTGTAATATTAAAAACCTCTTGGCTGGGGGCCTCTCTCGCCTTCCATCCGCCGCGCCCCCTCCAGGGAGGGCGAGACCGGGAAAAAAAAAAAAAATCTGTTGAGCTCAGAGGAAGCAGAAGCCAAGCCCAAAAAGTGCTTGGCTGGCCGCGGCGGCCGGAGGGGGAGGGGAGCCCCAATCCCCCAGACTTTGTACTTTTATTTTGCGCTTTCAGCAAAATCCTTTCTCGGTTGAGTCGCCGGGAGCTGCCCGCGGCAACCTACTTGGCTGCGGGCGCGAGGACTGCGGACGCGGTCGGAGGGGCGGCCCTGGGGCCCCCGCACCCTCTCTCTGCAGCCCCGCAGGGACCCGTGCCCGACTGGGCATTACGTACCCTCAAATGGAAGCTTGGAGAGGCAGAAATCCTTGCCGATCCTGCCTCGGAGAGCAACCGCGGTGATTAGATTTTAATTAAAACAAGAGAAGCCCGCTCTTTCGCCCCGCGCTGCGGACTCAGCGTTTTCGCATCGCTGGTTCTTTTTTTTTTTTTTTTTAATCCATTTTTAAGCAACTTTTCTGGAGGGGGAAAAATGAGCTAGTTAGCGCCCGTTCGTTCTATTTTTTTTTTCTCCACTTTTAGAAGAAAACGGGGAGAGGGGATAGGCTTGGAGAAAGCGAAATGGGGGTGTCTAATTTAATTCCAGTACAAATTTGAGGAAAAAAGTTCAGCCTCTTGAGGGCAGTTTCAAGTTGCCCTTCCAGGAGCCTCTGCGCTGGTTTCGAGGCTGCCCTCTTTTGGAAGCTGGAGCTCCGCAGGGGGAGGAGGGAGGAGTGAGAAGTAAAGAAAGGAACGAAAATAGCCGGAGCCGAGGGGAACAGCGGCGGAGTCCGCGCTTGGAGCAGGGCGCGCAGGTCTCAGTGGCGGCTGGGGCGGCGGGAGGTTCCCGGTGCGGCCCCGGGACGGCCAGGAGCAAAGACGGAGAGGAGAGGGGGGTTAGAGAAAGGAGGTATTGTGTCTTGTGTGCCTTGGGGGAGGGGGTCGACTGCAGAAATAAAATAAATGCAGTTGAGTTGCGCGGGGCTGCTGGAAGCCGAGGCAGGGGAAGGGGCAATGCGTGCGGGCGCAGCCCCGGTAGGCGCCGAGCATCCTCGAGCCTTATCCGAAGGCCTTTGTGGGTTCCTAAAAGACCCTCCCATGCCTGAGGCCCCATCGTTTCCCCACCCCCCTGGTTGCCATCCAATATTCGGAGCCCAGACCCTGATCCCCCACCCCATTATCCCCGCCCTGTATCTGGAATGGGTTTTTTGTGGGGGTTGTATTTTTTTTTTAATTAATTTTCATATAGCTCAAGCAAAAAATAGGTATCTTGAGAAGGTTGAGGTGGGCAATACAAAGGACTTGAGGGCTGGGGGGAAAAAATACAAAGCCTATTTTTATAAATGTTTAATGTTTTCACCCCTGGATGCTCCAAGACGCCGTAATTGTGAGATGGCGGGGTATGTGTGCCATAAATCATTTAGTTGCTAATAAAAATTCTGCCTGTTTGCCCTGCATTTGCCAATGGCGTTTGCATTTTCCAAGTATGTGCCTTGTCTGCGTGGCGAACCGAGCCTGCATTTCATTAGGGTCGCGGTTCGGGGTAGGCGAGACCCCCCTCCCCCAACCTCCTCCTCCCGGGCCTTTGTGGGCCCCAGCCCCCTCGCGCCGCCCTCCCGGCACAGACTCACGCCCGCGGCCGCGCTAGTCACCGCCCGAGCCCAGCCGGGCCCAGGGCCTGGGGACGCGGCGGCGGCGGCGGCTGCTCCCGGGTCCTGGTCGCGCGGTGCGCAGGACAGCCTGCCCGCGCCCGCTCTCCGAGCGCAACGCGCCCCGCCGAAGAGCTGCCCGCCGCGGCCGGCCCGTGCACACCCTAGTCCTTGCACGTTCCCCCCCCCCCCCCCCGCTGGGCCCCGCGCCCCGTTGCCCCCGCAGTCGTTGGGTAAACAGCGTCCGGGAGCCATCTTGGGGCGGGGGGGACGGATCCCAGGCCCAGTGGTGGGCGCAGCACGGGCTCCCGCCGAGACCCTGCCATTCGTAGGGCACCTCTGGGGATCCCTTGCCAAGCTTCGGAGTCTGGGGCAGCACCCTCCCCGCTCTGGCGGACCACACTGAGATGTCAGAGCCAGGCCTGGGCGCCCTGCGCCGGGCGGAAAAGAGGCGCCCCGCGTGCGGTCCGCCCGGGTCTGGCCGCCATCTTCCGTACCCGCCCCCCCCGCCCGCATACTTCTGTTTACCCGGCGGGATCTGTGGCCAAAAAGTGTGTTGACTCAGTGTATGTGTGTGTTTTGTACTGACTGGGCGGAAAATCGGCGGGGGGGGGGGGGCCTCCTCGCAACCCAAACCTCAGTTCCCGGTGAACCCGCCCAGGCCCGCGCTGTCGTCCGCGGCCAGCCGGGGCTGCCGAGCCGAGGCCTTTTGTGTGTTCTAGGCCTCCGGCTCCGTGCACGCGACCCGACTGACAAAATTATTCCCCTTTGTTTTAAACCAAAGAACAGGCCAACTTTGAGCCCGGTTCTCCCCGGCCTGCTCCTCGGCCAACGCTGCCCTCTTCGGGGCAGAACCCGGCGCTTTCTGGAACCCTGGTGTTGCTGGCCACGTGGATACATTCTCCCCTTCCCCTTCCCCCAGAGAAAACTGGCCACCTTTCGTAGGCGAGGACATCTGAGCCACCTCCACCCGTCGCCCCAAACCGCCTTTCCCGGTGGGGACCCAAGTCCCCGCGCTGTGCCAGCCTCTCGGTGAAGCCGGCCTCTGCTGCCCGCTCGGGAAGCCCTGGCCGGATCTGGGGCTTACAAGAGCCACTTTCCAGGTCCCAGGTCTGGCAACCAGGGAGCTCCCGGCCCGGGCACCGCGAAAACCCGGAGAGGCTGCGCCCGGGACATCCATTCTCGCCATCCCTTTTCTGCGACTGGCTCAGCCACGATTCGGCGCCGAGCCGAAGTTCGGCCAGCCCAGCCAAGAGGGGTCCCAGCCCTCCAGAAAGACCGAGGACGCAGCGCCAACGCCCGAACGCCGCAGGGACAAGAGCGCTCGCTCGGTGGGCAGAGCCGGGGCTCGGCCCCAGCGGATCCCGGCGTGTCTCGGCTCCGCCTCCGGCCCTGGCCCCTTTCCCCGGCCCCGGGTCGGGTCTTCCATTCCACTGTTTGGCTCGGAGAGGCCGGAGACGTGCTCGGTGCACAGGGGGCCGGATGCGGCCATAAATCTCCATGCGGGACCTCCTTCCCGCTGCTCACACGCGGGTGCTCCCGGCCGGCCCCGCGTCCGGGGCTTCACCGAGCGCCCCGCTCTCCCAGTCACAGCCTGGGGTCCCTGAGACTGCACAGGGAGTCAAGCCAGGAGCTTCCCTGTTCACCAAAGAGAGGAACGGATTCGCCCATTCAGTGCCATCACCTTCCATCCCCACGGTCGCCCGGACCTCAGGCGGCCTGGGCCTCACCGGATCCCGGCCTGGGGTAGGGCCACCCGGCCGGGCACTTACTTCTAGGAAGGCTCGGGGAGGCTGGAATGGGCGCATGGCCACCTGCTTGAGCCCAATTCCGTGCCATTAAGGGATGATACCAGGGTTAGGTCAGAGTGTCTTTTCGGAGGGCAGCCAGCCACCCTTCTCTGCAGACCCTGCTTTAATCCGGCGCCTTCGTTCTGCCCCTGAGTCCTCTGCGGTGGCTCGATATGGGGAGGTGGGCTTTTTTTCCTTTATTCCTTTTTTTTTTTTTCTTTTCTTTTTTGCCTGATGAGGACCATGCAGGGTTTCTGTGGGAGCGGCACTGGGAGGCGGGGGCTCATCTAGCTCCCCACCCCGCGCCAGCCCATCTCTCCCTCTATGCCAGGGATAGCCGGGACTTTTCGCCTCCCAGCCCCATGTCAGCACCCCCATCGGCCACCGGCTTTGGCGCAAATAGCCGAACCACCGGGAAAGCAGGAATCGGCGGGTCGATAGTGGCAGCCTGGCAGGGGCGGTGGTCTTTCCACCTGAACAGTCACGGAGCATCTGGGGGACAGACCCAGAGAGGGTGCATTTGCAATAATAACGCTTAATGTCACCAGCCTTGTGTGTCTCTTTGCCAGAGGGGCGGGAAACGGGCCTTCACGTGGGTACCTCGCAGCAGCTGAGCAGGCCTGCGCGCGATCGGGGACAAGCACCTCCGAACGGTCTTTGCTCTTTGCAGGGGACTTCGGTGGGGACAGCCGCGGAAGGGGGAGGCATTCACCCCCTCCGAGGAGCCTCCCCCTCGCTGTGCCGGTCATACAGTTGTAACGGCCGTGGTAGAGGCCAGGGGTTAGAAGGTTTGGTAAACCTCGCCGGAGACGGTCTTACTATGGGAGCTTTGGCTCCTTCCTAGAATTTCTCGAAGCATGTTTGGAGGGACTGCAAGGGCTCCGGCAGGGCCCGGAGGAAATGGAGCGCTCGCCCCGGCCGCCTGGGAGCAGAGAGGCTGCGGCGCCGCTTTCCGGCCGTGCCTCCCCCCTGCCCCAGCCCCGCCGCAGCGCCCCAGGAAGCGTCTCCGAAAACAAAGCGCTGCGGTTTCAATCCAAGGTTAAAGTCCACCACGAGCAAGTGTTGTTTTTTTTTTTTTTTTTCCCTCTCCGGAATCCGAGAGCGATAGCGTTTCTCCAAATAAACCGCCAATAAATCAGCTCCCGGGGCCTCCTGCTGAAGAGCTCTACTGACCTTGGGGAATGGTTTTCCTGCTTGGACCCCCTCCGAGGCCGGGGGTGGGGGGCCACGGGGCCACGGTGCCCCCCGCCAGGGAGAGGCAGGAGAGGGGATGGCCAAGGGCATTCGTGGGTGGGTATTGTGGCACTTGCGTGCCCAGAGGGTGTGGGGAGTTTTGGAATGGGGGGGTTATCGGGGGGACTGGGAGTACCTGGCTGGTAGGGTTTATTGTGGGGGCTGGCTGCTCTGGGGGAGGCTGGCCGCATGTGCGTTAAGTGCCTGGGGAGCCCACACTGTTCAAGGAAGAACACGGCCTCTTTGGGGGCCTCCTTCTTTGTCTGGGTGTGCTTGGGTGTGCTCAGCAGGCGAGTTCGTGCGGGTGTGACTAATGGGATTTATGTATGTCAGTGCCAGGGTGACTAATGGAGGGCTTGGCAGCACGTGTGTTGGGGGAGGAGGGGGCTGCACCTAGGTGGGGAGTCGGGGCTCTAGGAGGAGGCCGCCTCCTGCCTGGTCTTTAGGGGTTCACCTCTCTGGCCACCTGTTCCCAGCTTTGTTTGGACCTCTGAGCACCCCCTGGCAAGCCTGTGTGTGCTGAGATTTCTGGAGCAAATTCCATCACAGCCCTGCCCCCCCCCCGCAACGTACCTCTGTCCCCTCCCACTACCCTGACCCACTCTGCCTCTGCAGACCCAAGCTGGTCCCTCCCGTTCATGGCAGACAACTCCCAGTTTCTTCTTTTCCAGGCTGGAAATTTCTTTTGATGCAAACTGGTCCCTGCTTCGTACCAGCTTTAACAGCCCTCTGACTTGGGTACCATGGTGCCCGTTCGATGGACAAGAAACCCCAGGGGAAGTGACAAGCTCACACAGCTCAGAAGTGGCAGCAAACACCCTCAACAAAGCCAGGCAAGGGGGTACAAACGTGGAGCCCCAGCATCCCTGGGAGCCCCCAGCCTGACCAAGACCAGCTTAAAGAACTATACTAACCCCCCCTGCCACCCCATTTACTGCCCTTCCTCATCAATCCTCTCTACTCCCTGCTGCCTCTGTCCTGCCCCCGCCTAGGGGGAGGCGACAGAGGTCAGAGGTCAGTGGGAGTCCTTTGGGCCTAGGGTATGGGCGGGTGAGGTCAGGCCTTCCTTGGGAGCAGGGCCCACATTCTGCACTCCAGGGCTGGAGGGGGCTGCAGGCAGGAGTTCAGGGGAGCAGACCCCGGGTCCCCCACACCTGCTGTAGATTCTGGCTCAGGACACACCTGGACAATGACATTTCCCATCTCCCTCGGGGTCTTCTGGTTTCTGACACGCACACACACCGCCCCAGTCTCTGAGTGCTCTTGTGGGTGTTCTTGCTGCTGCTTGCACACACGTTCTGTCCCGTGCATCTGTGTGTCATGGGCACACTCAACACAGGCGTCCCTGCAACCCAGAGAAATGGGGTGGTCTTCCTAAGGTCACCCAGCCTGGGTGGCAACAAGCAAGCCCAACCCGTTTCTGCCCAGCCCTCCACCTCCCGTGCTCCTCACTGGTGCTCCAGGGCCCACGGTGGCATCGAGAGAGAGGGAGGGGACAGCAGCACCCAGCCTCGTCCCAGGTGTCCTGGGGTCCTCCCACACCCACAGGCTCCCAGGACCTCTGTCTCTGTCTCTCACACACGTGCGCGTGCACACACACACACACACAATGTGTGTCTCTCTCTTCACCTCCCTCCCTCCCTCCGTCCCTCCCTCCCTCCCTCCCTTTTTTTTTTTTTTAATTCTTCTTTGGCATTTTCTTTCAAGCAGAAAATAAAAACATTTCCCATGGCTACAGCTTTGAAAGCCCTCTTCTCTCTGCCTTTCTCTCGCCCCCACCCCCATGTGGATCCATTTCTAGAGTCAGCAGAAAGTCAAAAACAAACCCTGAAGATCAAACCTGACAGCCCACCCCCCTTCCCGCATCCCTCCACTTTCCCTGCATGTCTTAGCCTGTCTCCACCCTGGAGATGAATAGGAGGGAGCCCCCCCCCCGCCCCGCACATGCACAAATGCACTCCCACACCTTCTATGGCCGCAGGGAGTCTCTCAAGAACCTTCTAGAGCTGCCCCTGCCAGAAAGGCCTGCTCACTCAGTTCCTCCTGCTGGAAGTGTCTGAGTTCTCCCTCACGCTCCCCTTTCCAGCCCTGCTCCATCCAACCCTCCTCTGGGAGGCCGCCTGTTGTGGGTTGAATACCCCCAAAATTCATAGATTCAAGTCCTAGCCCCAGTACCTCAAAATGTGACCTCATTTGGAAACAGCCTCCTTGCGGATGTCATTGGTTAAGGTGAGGTCATCCTGGAGTAGGATGGGCCCCTAATCCAATATGACCAGGGCCCTTATAAAAGGGGGGCACAGACAGATACAGGGGGAAGCCTTAAAAGACCGAGACGGAGACGGCCATGTAGGAGACAGAGGGAGAGGCATGGACCAGACTCCCCCACAGCCCCTGAAGGAACCCACCCTGCCCACACCTTGCTCTTGGGCTTTTGCACTGCAGAATTAAGACAGTAAGTTTCTGTTGTTATCCTGCAGTGACAAAAATCCCCAACATCTCAAAGGCTTAGCACAACACCTAAAAATGTATTCTCCCCGACACATCGTCTGCCCTGGGCCCGGGCGACACTCCACGGCACCCAAGCCACTTAGGTTCCACGAGTTGTCGACCTCGATGTGACACCATCACAGGGAAGGGAAGATCATCCCACGGGGGATAACATCACTGGTGCTCACCATCCATGTGACCACACCCAATGAAACGGTGCTAGAAGCTGGGTCTCCCCCATCCTGTGCTCAGGAAGGACCGGAAAACCTAAGATGGGTGAGCACAGGCAATGTCCACCGCAGCTAGAATGTGACCTCTCCCGATCTGTTAACTTTTTTTTTTTTTTTAAGATTTTTAAGTAATCTCGGGACGCCTGGGTGGCTCAGTCGGTTAAGCGGCTGCCTCCGGCTCAGGTCATGATCTCGGGGTCCTGGGATCGAGCCCCGCATCGGGCTCCCTGCTCGGCGGGAAGCCTGCTTCTCCCTCTCCCATTCCCACTTGCTTGTGCTCCTGCTCTCGCTATCTCTGTCTCTGTCAAATAAATAAATAAAATCTTAAAAAAAAAAAAAAAAAAATTTTTAAGTAATCTCTACACCTAACGTGGGGCTTGAA